ACAGACAGACAGACAGACAGACATAGATAGATAGATAGATAGATAGATAGATATTTTTAAGTTGCTGTTCCAAGCCACATCTTGTATTGTATTATCTGACACTGATGTTCTGGTATGTAGTGAACTTGAAAATTTTTTAAAATGTAGCTACTTATAAAAAGAGTTTGGAGAATCCCATTTGGGCTACCCAAGAGACTAAGAACCAACCCGGGTCTCTGGAACACATGAGACTTCTTCCTGATACTGGGCTCATAGGAGTAGCTATAAGTGGCCTCCAGGGAATTACTAAGGACTTGAGAAAGCAATTCAGCTCCTTCCACACGAACAGGACAGACTGGCATTCCTTCTGGTCCCCCTCTACAACAGACCCCTCAAAATAGAGAAAAAAAGTCCCAGGGTGCATATTTAGCAAAATTTATCACTCTAGCATCTGTGCTTTTCACCCATATCTAGCTGCCAAGCTCCCCTTTTTATTTTCAAGGAGGAAAAATAATCCAGGAAGTGGAGTAGATACAGTCTTAGACAAAAAGGGAGCAATGGTCTTTCCAACTGGATGCTTCTCAGTTTCCACGTCTCACAAGAAAGTCGTATCACTTACAAACTTGAAAGCTGACATCAATTGTTTGAAAAGTCTTTCTATCGGCATACTATGTATCAGCATATATTTCCTAGCATACTAAGCATAATCAGGAATAATTCAAATTATATATATATATATAATGTGTTGTGAATTAACAGTTTTTTAAATTTCATTCAGCACAGCATCACAAATTCTAACAGCAATTTCTCAATCCATTCAAACTGGATTCATTCTCAGCTTTGTACATGCATTAGTTTTGGCAGCCCTGCTTGTCTAGATTATCGATTGCCATGTACTAAAGCAACAATATGTCAGCTAACAGTCTTTCAGAATAACTTAAATGTTTTGGCAAAGTGTTTAGAGTATAATTTGCTATTACTTATTTCCTGATTAGTTTTGTTGAATTATAGTAGAAAGACTAGTTTTTTGTCAGAGCAATTTAATTCCTTGATGAATAGAAAATATCTGCTGATTAGAAATATGGTCATTGTCAAAGAAAGACATTTCACATATCTTTTCATTTTAAGCTATTTGAAGATTTCAGAAAGGAACTTCTCATCACATCTTATTTCCTTCATTACTTCTTTCCCCACATTGCTACCTGTTTGCAAAATACTTTTTGCTTATGTTTTCATCGGCCTAATGAAACGAGAAAATTGGATAGAGTAACTGAAAGAAAAGCCATATCCTAATTCATTCCCTTGATAATATGATGAGCTAAGAGAGCAGAGAATCTTCAGAAGCTACGTGGAGAGTAATAATTGAGCAGCCACTTGCCGTATTCCACCACCTCTCGCACACAACACCCCACTATTTTCTCCTAATTGCTATGAAATAAGCAATTTTGCCTCCACTCAGTCTTGCAGAAAATGAGAAGGAGAGAACTGGGCTGGTAATATGATTTTGCCCTTCCCTCTCCCACTCGTGAGATGACAGCTGTCTTCAGCGATGTGGGGTTTCGCCAGCCTTTTCCACGAACTAGCTGTGAACCTGGGTAAGCGTGATGGAGAAATTGCTTCGGCCTGGTTAATATGACACATCTTCCCCAGTGAATGTGACTTTTGACAAATGAATGGTGTTATGCTGTGAGTTGTCACCAATTTTACAGCCATGACTGCAGGAGCGGTGGGCCTACCGTGGGGTTTAGCATCTGTCGTGTGTGCTGGTAACTGGGGAATCGGTTACTGCTCTTCCCAGAGAGGATTTATATTGGAAAGAAAATATACCAGTTGCACATCACTTAATAAAGTGGCTTGTTTATCTGCAATTGGCTTAAACACTTTGAGAGAGAATATGCTATGAAAATGATGTTCGTATTTTCTCAAACAAGCTTTTGTTATAGCTTCATTTCTTCTTTGATGGATTTTAAATGCTTAAAGAAAACCAAGCGAGTCAGACATTAAATATTCACTTGCAATATATAAAGCAAAATGTGTGAATTATCCAGCACAAACTAATTTTCTTGGGTAATGGTTAACTGCATCTACTGTGCCAAAATAGCAAGCTGTAATAATGTTAAAACAATGAAAAAAAAAAGCTACTGTAAATGCTAACTGTCTTTAACTACATGCAATGTAAAATTTTAAATATATTACAAATATTTTAGATTTAACAGAACAATATGTAATTTAGCTGCAAATTGTAAAAGTACAAATTATGTAAATTACTGTGAAAATCTATTTAATATTTAACAAGATAATAGATGTACTGTTTTCTTACAGGACAAAATATGGTTCTATTTATGGATAATAGAAAAAACAGTTGCCTTAATGTCAACGAAATTACCCAGAAATGTCTCTGTCACACGTCACATTTGATTATATTTCATCTATATTAATTGTTTCTTTTTTTTTTATCAGTTATGTATGTTAATGGGCTTTATGTTGCAGCACTTTGAACAAATTGGTTGAATGAACGAACGAACAAATGAATGAATGAATGACTCACTTGCTGTCACCTACTGGTGGTTTTAGTTTCATATTTATAGTATAATTTTAAAAAATCATTTTTTTCAGTATTCAATTAAAAAAAATTTCTCAGCCAGAATTGATGTGCGATTAATTTGACATTACTTAGACTAATTAATTTGCACATTATGTAATTAATTATATTAAAAAAAATGAATAACTTGACAGCCCTAGAAATAATTCTAAAATATACAGGGAATAAATGTCTAAAACCCATAAGTTATGTCTACAAATTTCCTGGCAACAAGAACTACAAGGGTGTTTTTACACATTGAACACTGACCTGAAGCGCAGTCATCTCCTGTATATCCCTCTTGACAGGCACAGAAACCATCCTTACACACCCCTTTCTGGCTGCAGTTATTAGCACAGAAGATGAGAGAGCAGTCTTCCCCCAGGAAGCCAGGTCGGCACTGGCAGGTTCTGTTCACACAGGTTCCTTGATCTGAGCAGTCGTTCAGACATCTGCCCAGCGAGCAGTCCTCTCCAGCAAAGGCTTCCTCACAAACACACTCGCCATCAATGCACAACCCCCTGTCAGAGCAATCACCTGGACATCGAGGCTCCGAGCAGTTCTCACCGCCAAAGTTACGGTCGCATACACACTCGCCTTCGATGCAAATGCCCTGGCCGGAGCAGTCATTTGGGCAGCGGGGTTCAGAGCAGTTCTTGCCAATCCATCCTTCTTCACAAATACACCCACAAACCTCCATACTGAACGTGCCATGGCCACACTGAGGGACGAAGTCCAAGCGACCTAAGATTGAACAAATATGTTGAAGTTAATTAAAGAAATTAATATTTCTGTCATCAATTACTCGCCATAACGTCAGGGAGAAATTGGCAATTGTTAACACTGTGACTGAATCACTCTGGTCAAACTGGCTTTGTGACCTAAATCAACTGATTCATCAGACTCTACAGTTTTAAATTGATAGTTCACTCAAAAAAATTAAATTCTGTCATCATTTACTCACCCTCATGTTGTTCCAAACCTGTATGAATTGCTCTCTTCTGCTGAACAGAAGTTATTTAGATAAATGTGTGTAACCAAACAGTTGTTGGCCCCCATTGATAAGTCAATATGGGACCAGAAAATAGTTGATAACCCACATTCTTCAAAATATCTTTCGTGGTCAGCAGAAGAAAAAAATTCATACAGCTTTGGAACAACTTGAGGGTGAGTAAATGAAAGAATTGTAATTTTTGTGTGAACTATCCCTTTAAGTATATAACACCTAAATTACAGACTGTTTCTCACACAAGCCTATCATTATGTGTTCTGAAAGAAGTCACACCACTTTATCATAATTTTATAGTGCTTTTTTTTCTGTCATTTTGGTCCTCACTTTCAGTATCCTGGACACTCTTTTAAACATATCTTTAAAAATTACTGCATTTCCCTCAGAGGAAACCAAGTCAAACAGATTTGGAACAAAATGTCGGTGAGTAAACAATGACAGAATTCACACTGGGTGAGCTATTCCTTTAATTTCCATCAGGTTGGACTAAAATTAACCTTATGTAAAAAATAAAAAATAAATACATAATAATTCTGAGGCAATATCTTGCAATCTTATTAGCTCCAGCAAATGTAGCCTGGTTCGATTCAGCAAACAGAGGACTTATCAAAGACTTGAGGGGAAGACCTCTCCAGCAGCAGTGCTGTAATTAATCTAGTTCACAATCTAACCTCATTTGTATAGCTTAATATGACTTTCCCTTTACTACTGCAGTTTCAGCTGTTTTTAGCTGCCCTGGAGGGGCTCCGCAGCCAAGGTTTGCAGGTGTGAATCCACTCGAGGGCCCTTTTGAGATGTTAAACAAGCACAACACTACCACCGTCCACAGTTCTGTTGTCCCTATGGGTCAATGCACAATATAGCCTCTACTTCACTTAGCACCGCAGTCACATCATAACCGACAGAAGGACCAGGATGCACTTTTGTTTTATCCACCGGGTACAATGAGCCAAAAGCCACTTGAAATGGATTCAAGATTAAAGAAGATGAGTTTGATTAATCCATTATAAAACATCAAGGGGCTGTAGATACACAGTCTGCATATAATATATCCTTGCTATTTGATTATGAATATGATCTAAAGCAGGACATATTAACTCTTTCATACAATATGAAAAAGGATCCACGGGTGAGACAACTATCGGAGGATAACCCGGTTCAGTTGCCTGTTTAATGACAACATCAATTGGTACAAGAAAAAATATTAGGGGTAGAAACTGGAGTTCCAGTGAATGAGTTCAGCTTATGAAAAATGGGGGCAAAAACAAAAGTGTTGCGTTTATCATTTTGGTCAGTGTAGTTCAAATCTACCGTATACTGACAAATTGCTCAAGACTTATACTGATATAAAAGTTATAATAAAACTTTATTTGAATACTACTTGTGCACAATGCACATTTCTTATTATATTAAGCCTAAATGGGTTTTAATGTCACTACTGATGAGGATAGTATTATCTTTGAATAATATGGGTCTTTAAATGCAATATATTTAAAGTGTACCTGAAGTGTACTTACAATAGTTCCTCTTTAGCACAATCAAATATACTTCAGTATATCTTTAGTTGGACTTTAGCACTACTTCCCCACAATTAAAGTGCATTAAGTACAAAATTGGTTGTTCCAGTTTAGCAGGCTTTAAGTGTACTAGTTTAGTACACTAAAAGTACAATTGCAGGGTATTTTTATTAAGTACATAAATATATAAATGTATTTGCAGTATACTTAGCATGAAATAAATAAATTTCATACAGTTTAGTATATTTATTTTTCATCATGAGTTTGAAATACTTGGTTTAAACTGCTTGAACATTTTTAACTAATCTTTTTTTTTTTTAGATCATTATCTGTTATATAATGAAAATACCATAGCAGTAAGCATGCTTGCATGAACAAATCCAGTCAGATCTCAGAGACATCACTTTTTTTATATAACACTGCAGGATATGCAAGCAATGTGTATCCACCTCAAAATCTAAAACTTACCCATAACAGAGCTCTCTCCGCAGCAGCTGGAGCTACACTGTGCTCGAAGCAAGGACACCTCCCTCTCCAGCATCTCTACGCGGTTAGCCAGCTGTTCCATGGCGGCAGCCGCAGGACAAGCACAGGCCTGCTTTGGGATATTGATGCGATGGGTGAAGGTCACCTGGCTGTCCGAGTCCACTGTCTCTTCTGTGTACTCTGTCGGCATCTTGTCACTCCCAGCTGTACCTTTGTTTGGCCCTGGTACCGTGTCTAGGTCCACTGAACAGAGTGACTCTAAAGGTACATTGATGTTGTATACATGATTGAAGATCATGGCCTGGGTCTGGTTGCTAGAGGGACCCCCGCCTTCGGGAACCTGTCGCCTCACTCTTGTGGTCCTCACTAGTTTGCTGGTGGGGTTAGGAACAGCTTGAATCCCAAAGAACAGTAGAGCCAGGCTCACTATTGAACCTTGTATTGCCATGGTGCACCCCCACATCACAACTCGGGCACTAGGGCGAGATCATCAACTCCACAAATAGACCTCTGATTGGCACTGTGAACAAAAAGAGACCATTTTTAGCACTAGAAAACAGGAAAGAAAATAGCAGATCTTAACAGCAGCAATATTTTTACTGGCCTCAACCTCAATATACTGTATACATATTATAAATAGGCAAGCAATTTTGTGTTAGCGTTTATAACATTACAAGTAGTCTATTTCATAACATTTAGTGACTTTTTATTAAATATCTGACCACTGATTGACCAATCGGGTATT